TGGGGGGGGGGGCGCTAAATGGAGAAAAGAAACTACAGACAAATCAGCTTGACATCAATATCTTAAAAGATCCGGGAAAAGATAATCAAGAAATGGATCTGCAAAAACCTAGAAACAAGCATAACTATTACAAGAAGCCAACATGGATTTGTCAAAAATAGATCATGCCAGGCAAACACCACATTCTTTGACAAAGTGACTAAAATAGTGGACCCACAAAATGTTGTGGACATAGCATACCTGGACTTCAGTAAGGCATTTGACAAACTAGTCCACAGCTTGCTTCTTGGTAAGATAGAAAAATGTGGACAGACTTGTGACTAGCTGGTTGACCAATTGCATTCAAAGTCTTCGATGGAACTACATTTACATGTAGGGAAGCATGCAATGGATACCTGAAGATGCTATCTTAGGCCCAGTACGCTTCAACATCTTCATAAACATTTTAGATGAGAGGACAGAAGGGGAACTTATCAAATTTGAAGATAACACCAAACTGGGAGGGTTAGCCAACACTTTAGAACAGAGGTCCCCAACCCCTCAGGCTGTGAACCAGTAACTGTCTAGTGGTGAAGAAATAGAATATGTGGAAAAATTCACTTTCTTAGGATTGCAGATAGCTCAAACCAGTCAATGCACCACAGAAATAAAATGTTGGATTTCACTGGGTCGCACAACGATGAACATGAACCAAATAAGGAAAAGCAAGGACATCAGCTTGGCAACCAAATGTAGGTTAGTTTATTGTATTATGTTCTCAAAAGCTACCTATGGCTGTGAAAGTTGGACAGGAAGAAAATTGACTCATCTGAGATGTGCTGGAGTAGGCTCCTGCATATTCTTTCTCCTATTTCTTGGACAGCAAATGTGACTCACAAGCAAGTACTGGAGCACATAACACCAGACATATCGCTAAAAAGCAAAATCATGAAACTGTGTCTCACTTATTTTGGAATTCACTGGAGAAAGCAATTATGTTTGGAAGAATTAGCAGAAAAGAAAACCTGGTTGTCAAATAACATGGTGGCTGGACACTATCAAACCTGACACCAACTAGAGCCTAGTACAACTCAAAGAAATAGTGCAAGATCAGAAGATGTGGAGAGACCTGGCCCATAGAATCGGCAAGAGTCAGACTTGACTGAACAGATAACATATTTATCACACTTAGGCAAGAAAAATCCAAATGCACAGGTATAGAAATAGGTAGTACCTGGTTCAACAGCAGTAACTGTAAGAGGGTTCTAGAACAATCACTGGACAATCACTTAAATGTGAGCCAGCGGTGTGCCACTGCGGTGTGCCAGCTGCAAAAAAGGCAAATGCGATCCTAGGCTACATCAACAGAAGGATTATATCAAGATTATGTGAAACAGTAACAGGAAATTTCTCCTTAATTTTATACTGTATTGGTAAGACTGCACTTGGAAAACTGCACCCATATTTGGTCACCACAGTACCAAAAAGATGTTGAGACTCTAGAAATAGTGCAGAGAAGAGCATCAAAGATGATTAGAAGACTGGAGGCGAAACTGTATAATGGATGGTTGCAGAAACTGGGAATAGTCTAACAGAGGAGGGCTGGGGTGAAATGATAGCAGTCTTCCAATATTTGAGGGGCTATTATAGAGAGGAAAGGATCAACCTATTCTCCAAAGCACTGAGAGCAAGTCAGTAAGTGGTGGATGAAAATTTAACAAACAGATTTTTTATGACTATTGGAATTGTTTTTCTCTGGATGCACATCATCTTTTCTAATTTTAAGATTGTTCTTCGTAATTTTAATGTTTAATACCGCCCAGAGTCTATATATTTATATAAATATATCCCTGAGATATGCTAGGCATTTTGCCCATGGTTGGTTGCTAAATTAGAAATGCTACTGTTTTGGTTATCTTTGAAAATTTCGCTCAGATCTTAAGGTAAGCTAGTGGTGAGTCCTTTAAATATTTTCTGTGTCAACTGGAATTCTTTTCTCTGGATGCACATAATCTTTTCTATTTTTTAAGATTGTTCTTAGTCATTTTAATGTTTAATACCACCAAGAGTCCATAGACTCTGGACAGTATTAAACATTAAATTTGAGGATTAAATCTTAATGAAATCAACATTAAATCTGAGGATACAGCGAAATTTTCAAAGATATCCTAAACAGTAACATTTCTAATTTAGTGACCAACCATGGGCAAAATGCCTATTATATCTCAGGGACATAAATAAGTCTACTACTTTCAAATTCAAAGGCAACTTTCAGGCTTGGCTTGCTTGCAACAACAGTCTGCCAGCTATTATGTCCTGTCTGGTTCTTGATAAATCCTGTTTTGTAATCTTAGACAAGTGGGAAGGTTTGTATGTGTGTTTGTGTGAGTGTGTCATTTTGTGCATGCATTATTAACCTACAATAAGTTTTTTAACCTATGGAACACCAGTTCTTCAAGTTTATTGATCTAAAAGAAAGGCAATGCAATAGTGATGAAAGAAATAGGCTTTAGTGATGTCTTGCAAGCCATAGTTACAACCCCAACGTGAGTCTTTTATTCCACATGGTTTCCTCAGAACTGCAGCTTCCCTATCAGAAGTTTTTAAAACCATCTCATTTCAAAAACCTCCTGTAATGTATCGAGTGAAAGCAGGTCTGGTTGGAAAAAACAAACAATGAATATTTGATGAACATTTGCTGCTCGTTCTGGTTAATGTATCTGCTAAATATTTAAGGAATTGAATGAAATTTAAGATTGGTTTATATTACTTCCAAGAAGTTCTTCCAGTATTATAACAAAGAAAAGATTAAGTGACTGAAGTTGGCCAAATCAAGATATGTGGTTGGACCATCTCTCTCCCTCTCTCTCTCTCCTTCTCTCTCTCTCCCTCCCTCCCTCCCTCCCTTTAAAACAATGTGAGCAGACTTTAGATTCCCGGGATCGGCTTTGTTTTGCTTTATGTTTTACCAGATGGCTAAGGTGCATAAGCTAATACCGTGATGGTGACTTATGGCACGCATACCAGAGATGGCACGCAGAGCCCTCTCTGTGGGCACGTGTGCCATCGCCCCAGCTCAGTCAGCTGGTTGTCTAGTTTCCAACATGTGGATGCGCCCCGGCCGGCTGGTTGTCAGGTTTCTGAGGCATGCATGTGTGCTGTCCAGCTGATCAGCAGTTTTCTGGCACTCTGGCACGTGTGCGCCTTCCAGTTTGGGCACTCTGTGCCTAAAAGGTTTGTCATCACTGGCCTAGTACAAAACTCAAAGCAATACAAAAAATGAGACTACAAATTTGTTTTAAGCATAAAAAATGAAATTTAGAATCTTTCTGTCCAAAACCCCACTCCTGCTGACACAACCNGAACTAGGTTAGAAGAAGAAGTGGTTAAAGAGACAATGGTAATCTGGGCAAGGAATTTTGGTTACACGATTGAGTTAGAAAAGTGGCAACAACTATGGGAAAGGAACTATAAATTAACCATGTCAACAGCTTACAAAGAAAACTTATACAAAATGTTTCATAGATGGCACATGGCACCGGAAAAATTAGCAAAGATGTTTAAAGATAAATCAGCGAAATGTTGGAAGTGTCAACAAACAATAGGTTCTTATTATCATTTCTGGTGGACATGTGTATAAGCAAGGAAATACTGGACTAAGATATTTTTGCTAGGTATAATCCCACAGAAATTTAAGAAAGAGGATACCTATTTGATTATACATGTAACTACAGCAGCAAGAATCATATTTGTCCAAAATTGGAAATTAAATAAGCTACCAACAGATGAAGAGATAATAAAAAAGATATTATTGTCCAGAGATGGACAGGTTGACAATGAAAATAAAGGATAAAGAGGAATCGGAGTACTTCAAGACATGGGGAAATTTTATGATTGGCTAGAGAAAAGAAACTAGAAAAGAAAGTGGGAAGAAGATACAGAACCCAGGCGAGACACTATTAAATGGAAATGGGGGGAGGGGGAAAGAAGGGGAAAACAGAAAATAAAATATTAAATGCATACATATGTGTGTGTGTGTGTGTGTGTGTGTATGTATGTGCATATGTATATGTAAAAATAGAGAGAGATAAAGGGGAGAAATATAATTAGGATACATTAGCGAAGATAAGGGAACAAGAAACAATACCAATTATATTTGGGTATGCCGAAATACCATCCCAAGAAAACAAACTGAGACCCAAAAGAGACACCTATAATAATAGAAAAGAAAGAGAGAGAGGAGGAGAAAATGAAAGGAATATGGGGGAAAGAAGAAAGAAATGAGAGGAGAATGGAAGGGAGAAGAAGAGAAAAGAGAGGGTAGGTAGGGAAAGAGGAAGAGTAGGAGTAGGAGAAAGGTAAGGGAAGAAAGAAGAGAAAGGAGAGGAGGAAGGAGGAAAGTAGAGAAGGGAGGGAGAAAAGACAGGAAAAATAAGGTGATATTACAACAGGAGGAAGGGATGGTAAACAAAACAACCCAAACTGTATATGTATATTATAACATATAAAATGGAATAACAAATGTATAAGAATGATACATGTAAAGAAGAAAAATAATTATGTGAATGTATATTTAAAATGGTATATAAGAGAATAAAAAAATAAAAATTTTCTGGGGGAAAAAAAGAAAACATAGCCAAAGTGTGACTTCTTACTGCTTCAACTGAATGACATTGAAAGTATTCTACTGTGCACCAAGTCTCTTAGAATTAACTTACTTTCCACATAAAGCAATTGGTATTTAATAGAAATCTGAGGTGTCCCCCGTGATTCAGCTTTGCAGTAAACCACTCCTTTCTGATCAGAGGTTGGATGTTGGTAGATAAACCCTTTCTTGGCATCATATATAATGTTGGTTCCATCCACTTTGATCTCTTCTGCTGGAAACTCTTGATGCAGAGTTACTTTTGCTGATGGGTTGGTGACTCGGCAGGGAATCACAGCAGGTTTATCTGGGCTGAGGTAGACCACTTCAAAATAGCTGGGAGCAGGAACAAAGAACTCTTCTTTATCTGTATAAAAAAGCAATCCAATGTATTATTGTAAGCAGGGTTGGTTGGTATATAGAAGGATGGATGGATGGATGGATGGATGGATAATAGGTAGGTAGATAGATGAGAGAGAGGGTGGGGAGGGAGGGAGAGATTGAAAGAAAGAAGATAGATGGATGGATGGATGGATGAACGGCAGGTCAGCTCAAATTTCTGCATAAGAAATGGTATAATTACTATACCATTCTGATTTTATTAACAATAAATATCAAGTAATATTTAATGGTATCTTTCTTTAAAAGGGAACAGGTGATGCATTTCTAGTCTTCCACAATGGGGGGGGGGGCGCTAAATGGAGCAAAGAAACTACAGACTAATTAGCTTGACATCAATATCTTAAAAGATCCGGGAAAAGATAATCAAGAAATGGATCTGCAAAAACCTAGAAACAAGCATAACTATTACAAGAAGCCAACATGGATTTGTCAAAAATA